GAGCACCATATCCTTTATTTCCCCTCTGCAAGCTTGCAAAGAAATATAAAGTTAATTGACAAACATATTGCTCATTGCAAAGCTAATAAACAAATTTGCAAGTACTTCGTCTCTTACAGGTTTTCTCACCAAAATTTCTTGCACCAGCCTTGAACTTGCTAATCCCCAAGGAAGCAGTTCCAGCAACCACCCTGTCAGATGAAGACCACCTGTGCTGATGAAGATGAAGCTGATGCTTCCACACAGACATGTGGGAGTTGGACATACTCTGCAGTCCCAGAAATAAATCTAATAAGATAAATAAATCTAATAAATCAGCTAATTTGTTAATTAACAAAAGGTCAGAGAAACTTCTAGTCTAGAGCTTAGCTCCTTCTTTGAGAAACTTTGCTAGGAAGTGCCTCAGGTGATATCTTCACAGTGCTAATAGCACCCACTCCTATCTATTTTAGCTTTCCTTCTTGCTGTGATGGTCTTGGTTAGAAGCTTATAAAATGAGTAGGAGAACCACACACACTTAAACAAGCTTTGCAAGCGTTCGGACTAGTTAGATTCACTTTTTTACTTCAGCCACATCTCTCCAAACTTTGTGCCTTGGAACCAGCCTGCTCTTACTGGATTTGTGAGATGGGAACAGCTGAGATCTTGTGAGCAAATCGGATCATTTCTAACCTGATTAGTGAAAGAGCAAAAATGCCCTGGATCCAGATTAAATCACCAGACCTTCTGAGCTTTACTATCACTAGCAATAACTTTGTGACTTCTATGAGGGCGCTCATAGGCAGCTCCATTTTGCAGAATTAGTTTTAGGGGAGCTGGAACTTGCACAGCAACTGCAGAACAGTCAGCTTAACCTAAAGGATTGCCACTTGCAATTCACAAGCTAGGGAGTCCTTTATGATATGTAACAGGATTGCCTCAAACTTTTCTAGACTGCTAAACAACAGAACTGGCTGTTAAATCACACAGCAAAGTCAAGGCCAACTTTGAGAGAAAATGATACGACCCCAGAGTAGCAGGCAGGGTTAATGTTTTCTCAATCACCTGAGAGAAAAGTGTAAAATACTGTTTTTACACTTTGTTGCAATTGAACCAGCTCTTATGTTTTGATCGAGCCGGTCTGAATGATGCCAAACCAAGTTAAATTAACAAGATTAAAAGAAACATATGTGTTTAGTCCAGTTTAATAACTTTATCATAACTCCTCTAAAGCTGTACATATTTATATAGGTAAAGCAAAAACTGTAGCACTGAATTTGAGTTGTTGAGGCAAGATGTCAACCTTCCTCACCTTCAAGAAGAACTCATCCTGTTGACCTCTTCCAGGTAAGTTGTTAGATAGGCTCTATCAGTGTGGCTGCACTTCCATTATGCATGCTAAGAAGTAAGTTCTTTTACTGATGCATGTTAATGAAAACTGGTTCCCCACAAAGCTTCCCATATGTCAGAGCTCAGAATGGGAAGGGTTTGCTTCCAGCTCAGCCCCTTGATATTCTGAGTATCACAAAAGCTGTCCCCTTTAAGCAATTTTTAAAAACCCTTTAAAGAAAGGTGGAAAGGAGAATAAGTCCAGAGAAACAGCAAGGGAATTGCATTGTTTAACTGCTTGCAAAAATATGAAGGTGGACACAGTCCTGGTGAATCTGCCCAGCTTTATGGTCAGAACTACACAGCCCTTGTGAGCATGGAGGAAATAGGCATGGGGATTTAGTCATAGGCTGAAACCTAGCATAAGTAGCAATAAAGCTCGTGTTAACTACAGTACATGTGATGTTGGAAAATGTTGCAGACAGACTATACTCATGTAAAATGGGGAGCAAGATAGCTGTTGCTTTTGTCTGATAGAGGAATTGAACCATGAATTATTGGAATTTTTTCTTCCTCAAGCTCTGCGGTTACCTTGCAACAGCATGCACCCACTTGTATATTTGGCAAAGTTACCTAATAAGGTCACTAGGTTGGTAAGCAAAGGTGTAGAGCATATCAGTGTGCTGGTACATACTCAGCTCCATAATAGCTAGACACAGGCAAAGACTTGGAGTTTGGCCTCACTCGCAACTTGAAAGAAGTTTAAAGAATGAATCTCTGAAACACTTGACACCTCTCAGGATGACCCAGCTGTGCTGCTGATGGTGGCAATGAACAGCAGAATAAATGCTTGGAGAACAGGGGTTTAGGTGCCCAGAGCTCACAAGTTTTCTTGGCAAAACCTCAGCCTTCATCTGTATATTTGAAGCTAAGAGGATGTCACCTGAACTCCTAACTGTGGGAAACCCTTCAGTGATGCTCTGTGACAGCAAGCATGATGCTGGGCCTGACAATGCCTAATAAGATCCCTGTTGTCCACAGGGAGGAGATGAAGCAGATGAACATGAGGCATAGACCAAGCATCCTGATAAGCGATGGCAAACAGGGCTCCCTGGGGCTTCCCAGGTAAACAGACAAACTTTGTTCAACCTCATTCACGTTTTATCCCTCTACCGCCTTGTGGGGAAGGTGTTCAGAGCTGGTCCAGGATACAACTAGATCGCTGGAGAGCTCTGAGAGATATAGGGTGTAGCCTGTCCAGGGGAGGCTGCAGGTGGATCTGCTGAGCCCCTTCACTGCAAAAATTGAAGGACATGCAGTTTGGGGCTAAGACATTTCCTTTTTAAGGTTGTGTCGCTCTTCAGCATTTCAGGTGTGCATCGCTCCAAGCCTGTGTGTGCTTTTGGGTATTTCTTTCTAACCCAGCACGAGGAAGTCAGAGGAAGTGTTTCTTACCGATGCAGTTTCCCTGTGGAGCCGAAGTAGGGGGTCGTTTCCCCCTTTCAAAGCCTTCACGTCTCCTGGAAGGGAAATGCAAGCTACAGGATGTGCTGGGCTGCTATACTGGGGTTTATGTTAATGTCTGGCTTGTTTCTGCTGGAAACGGCAAAATCTTTCTTGTGGAAGGAGCAGGGAGTTTGGCCCTTCATGTGCATATAGGCTGTATATATATAAATAAAGACAAGACTTAGGAAGCACGTGAAACATCAGAAAAAAAAAAATAGACGAAGGGTCAGGAACCATACGGTTCAATGCTAGCTTTCCACAGACTGCTGTGTGATGTTTTTACTATATTTTTTTTAATTTATTAATTCCTGTAACACTTACTTCCACTTATTCCGCTCTGTGTTCACATACACTAGGAGGGGAAAAAAAAGAATCCCCCTTTTGTTTCTTTGGAGGTGAATGAAGGGAAAGGCAACAGAAACTTCCTGAGTGCCTGAAGTGAAAAATCAATTATTTACTCTCTCTAGCAAAGTTCTTTAAAGAGCTGTAGACACAGAAAGTCAGCATTAATCTCTACCTACCCACTACAGCTCCTGCCTGCCTTTCCACCTTCCCCCCTTCCCATCCCAAATGGATGAAAATACCTTTCCTGCAATCAGAGGAGACACCAGATAAGCCTGAGACATGGGCACAGCCCACCCTGTACTGGTCTGGCCATGGAGCTCCAACACCCGCGTCCCTCACAGCCTCTCCAAAATCTTCCTCACTGGTCTCGGTGCCGGCAGCCCGGAGAGAGGAGCTGGAGAGCGCAGGATAGAGCAGGGAGTCTAAAAACTTGGTTCTGCAGAGGGACCTCTAGTGTTTTCCTTTCTCCACGTCCTGGCAGAGTTCCTCTAAAGTACAAATACACACAGAGCTCCCATTGTTTGCAGCCCTTCACAAGCCCACTGATCCTAATATGGAATTCA